TAATAGTGTAATAGTATAATAAGATGATAGTATAATAGTATAATAATATAATAATATAATAGTATAGTAATATAATAGTATAATAGTATAATAATATAATAAAAATAATTAAATTTATAAAAAGTATTACAATACTATAATATTATGAATCGCTCTCGAATAATCGTATCTCCTCTTCCCAAATCGTCCATATTTTTATCGTTGTCCATTACTAGGGTGTTTCCTAGATGTTGAGGGTTGCTTCCCCGTTTTCTTTTTTAATTGTTCACGTGCGAATATAGACCACGTAGCATAATTCACGATTATATTATAAACGATAAAAAAGACACTGATTTCTGATTTTATTCCATTGCTCGCATCATTATGCGACGTCTCGCCTAATTCGACGCGATGCTCCCAAGGGTCGCGTTTGTAATGGCACTCGACCCGGCCCGGGACGGGGACAGGGTGCAAGAGGGCGCAAGGCCAGGGTGCAGGGATTTTCAAGCAAGCGCCAATTATCGCTCCTTCGTCCTGACGAACTTCTTCTCTCTTCGACGCCCTTCCTTCGACTCTCCCCCCGCGCGCGTCCCTCTGTTCCTTTTTCCGCGGCGGGGTTCGTTCGGCCGTTGCTCCTTTTTATTTCGATTTAACGGGACGAGGCTGCGCGAGCGTCCGCCGTCGAGCTACCTTCGGCTCCTTAGCCTCGTGTATCCATTAATCCGGAGCGGAATGCGAAAAGTCACGGTCCGGGAAAAGGGGGGTGACGCGGCACACGGCGCGGTCTCTCTTAAAATACACCCGAGGGGTAATTGAAGGGCACCGATATCGCAAGAAACGCCGACTGCTCTCGGTGAGACTGCTTCCCCGCGGCCCCTCTCGGCCCGCCCGTCCCCCCTCGGGCCCCTCAACGTCCCCTGGTACCCACCCTACCCCTCGGTACCCACCCTACTCCTCGGTACCCTCCCTGCTCCTCCCAGAGCAGAAGTCTGCTCTCTTAACCCGCAAGGATCGCGATCGTTAGCCAGCCGGAAAAACCGAACCGCGCGGACCCTCCGCCGCGATTTCTCCGGCTGATCTGTTCCGCCGATACCGCGGCGCGCCGAGGGATGAATGGCGATCCGGGGCGATCGAGGTTTTTGCGCGGGCCGCGCGTGGCTTCGAATGATCTCTTGATTCGAGCGCGACAACGGCCTCCTCCTCTCCGCTCGCGTCCGTGTTCTCGGATACGCGGGGCCACTTTTTGCCGCTTGTAAAGGATACCAGCGGAACCGTGTAACCATGCCCGCGGTAATGAGCGTCTTACCAGAGTGATCCGCGCCGCGGCGCGGCTTCCGCGAACGCTTTCCGCCGGCGAGGTCGCTTCGATCTTCGATGCTGTTGCTCGTTGCGGATTCCTAGCTTCCGTCGAAAGCTGGATTCCGTCGACGGGACGCGAGGAGAGGATCGATTTAGGCTGTCGGAGGTACTGCAGTAATGTCTCCCATACTGACGCCGAAATTGTGCACAAGAATGGACGATTCGGGAAGAGGAGGTACGATTGTTCGATAAAGCCTTGCGGCTCGTTTTTACAGTTGTTGACAATCGGTAACTAATAATCGTATCTTCTATTCCCGAATTGTCCATTTTTGTGCACAATTTCGGCGTCAGTATGGGAGACATTACTGTATTTCGGACCAGGCTCGTCGCAACGGTCGTCTAGGGTACAGTGGTTTATTGGCGATCGAACGATTTTGGACACGGTTTGCTGAGAAAGGGAGAAAGAGAAAGAGACATGAGAAAGAGAAAAGAGAGATGGGAAACGAGAAGGAGAAAAGAGAAAAGAAAAAAGAGAAAAAGAAAAGAGAAGAGAAGAAGAGCAAAGTGAAAGAGGAAAGAGAAAGAGAAAGGAGAAAGGGAAGAGAGAAAGGGGAAAGAGAAAGGGAAAATATAAAGAGAGAAGAGAAGGAAAAATGAGAAAGAGAAAAGAGAAAGAGAATGCGAGAGCAAAGGAGAGAAAGGGAAAGGGGGAGAGAAACAGAGTGGAGACAGAAAGAGAGATGATGAGAGAAAAAGAGAGAAAAGGGAGAAAGAAAGGGAGAGAACAAGAGAGAGAAAGAAAGAAAGGAAGAGAAGAGAGCGAGAGAGAGAAAAGAGAAAGACAAAAAAAAGGACGAGAGAGAACGTGACAGGGAGAAAGGGTGCGAAAGAGAGAGACTGAGAGAGAAAAAGAGAGAAAGAGAGAGAGAGAGAGGGAAAGAGACAGGGAGGAAAAAAAGAGAGAAAGAGAAAGAGAGAGGAAAAGAGAGACTGAGAGAGAAAAAGAGTGAAAGAGAAAGAAAAATAGAAAAAGAGAAAGAAAGAGGAAGAGCGCGAAAGAGAGAGGAGAAGTGAGCAAAATAGAAAAGTAGAGAGAGAGCAAGAGAAAGAGAGAGAAAAAGGGAGACTGTGAGAGAAAAAGAGAGAGAGAAAGAAAATGGAAGAGCGCGAAGGAGAGAGGAAGAGTAAGCAAGAGAGAACAGAAAGAGAGCAAAAAAGAGAGTGAGTGCGCGCGAAGGAGTGCGAAAAAGAGCGAAAGAGCGCGAAAGAGAGCGAAGGAGATCGAAAGAGATAGCGAAGATGAAAAAAAGGACAGCGACAGATAGCGAAAGAGATCGAAAGAGAACCGCTCGCATCATGACAACGATCGAAACGATCCACGGACCCGCGCCGATATTACGAACAGTTTCGCGGCATCAAGGCCGCCTCCTTACCCGAGATCTTGTCTCTCGCGATGACTCACGCCTAGGCTCCTGCCTCCTGCCTCCGCAGGTTCGCTCTCTGCCTTCCTTCCTTCGTTTCCTCGACGGGTTCTCCTCTCCTCGAGAGGAGGCCGAGAGGCGAGCCGACGACGGATAAATAGAGGCCGATGCCGGAGCAACCGGGAGACAGGAAAAAGTGAGAGCGGTTCCCTCGGCGAAGCTTACACGTTTAACATAGTTTATAGACACGTCGTGCCTCGCCGTTCCTCCGAACCGGCGCGCCGATCCCGAGGAGAGGAGAGCCCCCGATCGATTATGAAACCGAGAGAGACCCTCTCGACCCGTGACAGAAGAAAGCACCACCACCGCTGGATCGATGAAAATCGCCCCGGGCGACGGAAGTCGGGTTCAAGAAGGATCGAGAGTTCTCGCGGCGAAATTCTGGGTCGGCTGGCCCGATGACGACGCCGATCATCAGGGACGAGCGATCCTGTTGTTTCCTGATTCGAATAGCGCCGAGACTTCGCGGCGCGACTTCGCCGAACCAGGAAGTTAACGTTTGCCCGATCGGCGGACGCGTCGCGATCCGAATTCGGTGACGGAGCCTCGAACATTGAGACTCGAGGAGTTCTGCTCGAAGAGGAATTCTGTTTGAAGAGTTCTGCTCGAAGAGGAGTTCTGCTCGAACAGGAGATCTGCTTGAAAAGTTCTGCTCGAAGAGAAGTTCTGCTCGAAGAGTTCTTCTCGAGGAGTTCTGCTCCAAGAGTTCTATTCAAGGATTTCTGCTCGGAGAGGAGTTTTGCTCGAAGAGTTCTGCTCGAAGAGTTCTGCTCGAGGAGTTCTGCTCGAAGAATTCTGCTCGAGGATTTCTGCTCGCAGAGGAGTTCTACTCCAAGAGTTCTGCTCGAAAAGTTCTGCTCAAAGGGGAATTCTGCTTGAAGAGTTCTGCTCGAAGAGTTCTGCTCGAAAAGTTCTGCTCGAACAAGAGTTCTGCTCGAAAAGTTCTGCTCGAACAAAAGTTCTGCTCGAAGAGAAGTTCTGCTCCAGACCTATCCCAACGCGACGCGTCCATGCCGCTCGGACCCTCCGTTGCTCGCGGCTGTTGCGTCAGGCTTAACGAATGTCCCCGTCCCCGTAGACCGTGCACCGTGTAGACAACGCGTTTCCGCGGCGAGCGTCCGCGGGGGAGGTGATGGACCGGCGGACGCGCTTCTCCGCGGGTGTTGGCGCGGTTGGGGGCTCGCCGCGGTTCGCGGAAGGTCGCCTAAATGATTGCCCCCGGGCTCCGGTTCCCGTCGAAACGCAGGTGTTTTCCGACATGGACCCGTCGCGGGTACGCTGCCCACAGACCCGTATCCGGCTGTCCGCGTGCACGGCCGAGCAGATTTGTCTTTCGCAAGGCCGTCTCTAGCGAGCAGTCGGACGCGGCTCCGCGCCCGCGCGACGATAGAAAGCGACAGCTCTCGGAACGCGTGCGCGCGTGCACCTTCCAGAGAGACACGACGCGTTCCCCGGGTATCCGACGACCGGGGACAACGGTTCGCTAAGCCACGACTGACGGAAGTCCCTGAGAAATGGATCGCTCCGTGCCTCGCGAGCGTTTCTAACAGCCTTCGGAACGCTCCTGGCTCGCGGAAACGCGCGGACTGCGGATCTGACGCAGACGATTTATTTTTTTGTATTTTATATATAGCTTGTAATATTTTATAATAATTTTGTGAGGTAATGTGTCTAGATTGATTTATATTTGTCTTTTGTAGTTGTTGATCGTTCGATAGATAAGAATAAAATATTATAACACATAAATATTATATATAATATATATTATTTTATGTTATATTTATATTATATCTATAAAATATATTATATATAATATGTAATATATACTATTTTATGTTAAATGATATTATATAATAATAATATAAATATATAGTATATTATATCTATAATATTATATATATTAATTTATGTTATATTATATTATATCTCTATAAAATATGTTATATATAATATGTAATATATACACTATTTTATATGTTAAATGATATTATATCTATAAAATATATTATATATAATATACAATAAATATATGAATACATATAAAATATATTATATACAATATATAATAAATAAGTATATAAGCTGTATTATATATAACATATAATAAATTTATATATAAATATAATATACAAAATATATTATTACATAAATACAATAAAGAATAGAATATCATTATTAAGCATTAATAGAAT